GCCAGTCAGGTCTTCTCTGTTAACCCATCCAAAACCCTATCACCAGCTCTGTACATTCCCTCAGGCCTCCGTCCCTTATTCATTACCTATACATGAGAACACGAGAGAATAGAAGTCTCGTAAGCAAAATTTGCTTAGTAAGTCACCATTACATCCACTAAAATAACGGAGTCATAGCTAGCCATAAATAGATACAAAAGCTAGAATACTTAAAAGCACCTTGCATAACCACACACAAAACATATAACATGACAAGCAAAGTTTCAAGTATCGAACTAAAGAAACGTTTCCTTATACATCATTCTTTCTTCTTCACTTTGTCCTTTTCATTTATGGGCCCGTAACTCGTGTCATGGCCCCTCGCCGATGACCTCGGGTAGCTAACCCGCAGCCCATCAGAAGTAACCCCGGGACTCCCCGCGGGAGGATGTCCCGCTACGCTCAACTCTGGTAGTTACTTGGGGGCACGACTACCTTAAAACATTACTTATAATTACTTAATACAATTCATAAAACTTGAATACTTCATATTCGATAACACAATAACTTCACAATTTACATACCTGTCAATCCATACATCTAACTTGGAGTTTACACAAATCTCATGATATACACTTCCAAGTAATGAAGCAAGTATATCAATTCATAATTAGCTAGACATCCATAATTTATTTAAAACTATCATGTATAGGTGGTGATGACTTACGTGTAGAAGCTGAACTCGGATTACTCAATTAAGTGTGACACCTTGATAACGTCTTCCGGTAAGCTCTTCTCTTAAATTTTTTGTTAAATTTAACAATATAATTAGAGTGGGGTATATCTTAAATTAAACACGACAACCAAAAATTATAACTTGAACTGTCTGGATGGCTATAGAAAATTAAAGAAAACACTATCCTTAAATTTGAAGATCTTTATGCAGCAGCTCACCAAAAGTATTAGTAGTTAATTACTTAAACGATCATACAACCTCATGCTGGAGCACCCAAATTTGTCACTTACAAAACAGCCTCATCAATAAATATTAAGTTAGAATTCAGCTGCTATAGATTTTAAAACCAAATACTACAGCCCCTCCTTGGTATGCGCTTAACTAGTTTAACATAAATGTATTATGTATGTATAGTTGAATATCTTAACCTCCTAGATGAACTATGCAAACTTGCCATAAATCTAAAATCAACTCGCTGCCCCTAAACTACTGCCTCCAAACTTTAAAACAAATGAACCGGTTGCCTGGGTTTTGACAACATTAGCAACAAAATTAGGTGTTGTCTTGAATCCTACTTTTTCCAAATTCCAAACGGACAACAAGAATTCAGCCAGATTTCAAAAATCAAGAAGCCTAATCCAAATATATGTTTATGTATAACTAAGAACCAGACCTTAGCAGCGAAAACTGTCCGGCCAAAGCCGCCCTCTCGTTTTGAACATAACTCTAAATCATAAGAGTAAAACCTTTAGCAAAAGCATAGAAGAGTGATAATTAAACTTAAAAGACAAGAGGCGGTGACATAATTAAGGGACCAAGGAGCTTCGACAAAAAACCGATTAGAAAACCTTTGGATGAAGAGAAAGAAAGGGGAAAACAGGGAGATAAGGGAGATTGGTTCCCGATCGTTAATTAAGCGGTGCGGCTACTGTTGTTGGTAAAAGAAACAAAGGTGGTGTGTTACGTGTATAAACTACTCTTTTTAGGGCTCTTAACCAAAACACCTATTCGGCCAAGATAACTGATTTGGGTGTCTTAGTCTGCTTAAAAAAATGCTTCTAGTTTTGAAAGTAGAATTTTAACTTGATTAAAAAAACTATTTTAAAAATAAATATAAACGGATAATTTCAGCATATTATTTACTTATTCATTTATGATTTCTGAAGCTTACCGGTCAACGTTACCTACCATAACAATACATTATTAATAATAATCACATTATTCATAAAATAAACTTATTTAACTGACTAAAAATGATTAATATAACTAGCTTACTGCCATGTTGCTTCCTCAATTTTGTGGTTTCGCCACAATACCTTCACCAGCGCTATCTCTTTGTTCCTTAGTCTCTTAATCTCGCGGTCAAGTATTTTCATGGGCCTCTCTTCGTAGGTCATATTCGGTTGAGTCTGTACTTGTGGAGGTGCAAGGATATGTTCTGGGCTTTCGAAATATCTTTTGAGCATCGAAATGTGGAACACGTTATGTATACCCGTCATCTCTTCAGGTAATGCTAACTCATAAGCGACTTTACCCACTTTCTTGGTAATTTCAAATGGTCCCACAAATCGCATACCAAATTTCAACTAAAAATTCAATCGGGAAGGCAGTCAAATAAATTTCTGAAATATACTGCGTAGTTATTGTGTAGTTATCTTCAAAAATCATCAATTGATTGTCTTCTTGGTTGAATTTTTAGCTGAAATTTGATATGTGTAAACTAGACTTAATGAATAAGAAACTCAAACAGTTTCATCAAAAAAATCTACCGGAAACCTCCCCAAATAACCATAACCTGGCTTTAGGGGCATCTACTCTAGACAAATGTCTAGGGCCCCCAAATTTGAAGGGTCTCCAATTTTTTTAAATCTGCCTAGTAGTATTATATCTATATTTAGTTAAATTGTAACTGGTTTTCAATTTTAAAACCTAGGTTAGTGGGTTTCTAACTCCACACTTGGGCTTTCAAGTTTACGACATTCAGACCATTTGGAGTGGTGAGGTATTAGGAGTCCAACATGTTAAATGTGGAACTTTTGGACTCCTAATTATGTGTAGTGGTGGTTTATATGGGGTATTAAAAGTGGGAAAGGGGATTGAGGGTGTTAAATACTGAGGGTGAGTTTAGACTTTAGAGGAGTGGAAAAAGAAAAAATAAAGAAAAAAGAAAAAGTAAGGCACAGCCGCATGTTTTCTTTTGGTGAGAATGATGTCATGCTGGCGTCACCATTGCATCATTATATCCCAATTTTTTAAAAACTTATATAACTTTTTTATTTGTCATTTAATTTTTTCAAAAAATATATCAAAATCCATAAATTTTTATGATATTTCATATGACATCCATATGTGATATATAAAATGATATTTTTTTGAAATTTTAACTGTTGCAGTTTATTGAGCTAAAAAAAATGAAACACGAATTTTAAATTCATGAAACCTTCACAAATAATTGAATATTCTATAATCAAACTTCACTTAAACAAATTCATTTTTTAACAGAAAAATGTTAAAAAAAATTTATGAAAATTATTTATTTTTACATCGAAATGTGTTTTTTTTATTTCATAATTATTCAGGGGAAAAAATTAAAAGTAAAACATTACTTATAATAATTTAATTAATGTTTTACTAAATTCATATGTAAAAAATATGCAGAGTGTATTTTATTGACGGTGCACGGATGCAGGGAAAAACAGTATTGACGCACTCTAAATACTGTTTTCAAATGGACGGAGTCCGAATTTAACAATTTGGACTCTTGACCAGTACAAATGGTCTCACACGATGACCCCTATCACCCCTTCAGATCGGTTCAACACTACGTGTCCAATGTCTTCTATCTTCTACATACTCACTTATTACACACTTAGAGTTCGGTTTCTAACTATTTTTCTAGGTTTTAGATTTGTTAAAACTTTAAATTATTTATTCATTAATCTTGTAGTTGTGTAAATAAATAAGTTGAGCAAAATAAGTGGTTGACTTGGTGTATTTCAGAAATCGTGATAGAAACCTGACATAGTTTTTTAGACTGAATTTTCATTTTTATTAGTTGTGATATCATGTAGTTGGGGAAACGGATATTTTTAATTAATCTTTTATAAGTTGAAATTAGTTTTGTTTAGAAAATTAATCTAGTGCTACCTATTATTTAGTTTAATTTTTAAAAAATAATATTTGTTTATTTATTGAATACTTTCTTACTAGTGCTACTTCGGTTGAATATTTGCTACCTATTATTTAGTTTTTAATCACATATGGGGATTTAATTTTTTATCTATCAATTATTTGCTTGTTTGATTTACTACAATCTATTATTTTGGATGAATTGTTAGTTTTGTGGTTAAGAAAAAAGGAAACACAATTCAAGTTACATAAAAAGAAATAATAAACAAATAAAAGACTTGGTCTTACAACATTCTCCTTCAAACATTGTTGACAAAGATATTTAAATCTCGTGTTTGCGGATGATTCATCATTTCATCATTTTCATTTACCCAGTGCTGCAAAAGCTCCCACCTACGGTGAGGTAAGGGGGGTCAGATGTACGCAGTCTTACCCCTGTATTAAAACACAGAGAGATTGTTTCCTAATGACGCATAGTGAAAATTGCATCCAAAATTGCATGGACTGACTGTTGCTTCATAACAAAGAAGCACAAACAATTTAGTGAGTCATAGTGTTTGCGGATGAGTGTGAAGAAGTATTCTCTCTACGTTAAGAGTATATTGTGCATTTTACATGTAATTCATAAACAAAAAAAAATTGAAATGAAATGTAAAACTAAGTTCTATTTGATTGTCTAGAGTCTCAAATTTGTTGTGGATGGCCCTGCAAATATAGACCAGACAGAGCCTCCTAAGTAAGTTCCATGACTTATTTAGTACTTCTCCCAATATATACAGAGTACAATTTGTCAAAATTTTGAATTGGCCAAATATTTTGGGAAAATTGACAAGAATAATCTCACCTTTCACTGGTCTTCTCATAATAATCCCACCTTTAAATAATCCCAAAATAATCCAACATTTGCACCTCATCTTCTTTCATTGAACCCTGACCATGTTTTTTACTCTTTCTTTGAAAATTATACAAATAATCTCATCTTTCACTTTTTAATTATATCCTTATAAATGTGAGATTATTTATATAAGATTTTTAAAAAAGGTAAAAAACTTGGTCAGAGTCCAATAAAAGAAGATGAGGTGCAAAGGTGAGATTATTTTGGAATTATTTAAAAGTAGGATTATTATGAGAAAGACTAGCGAAAGGTGCGATTATTCTGTCACTTTTTTCTACTTTGTAGAGATAGTATCATAGTACTACGTAGTAAACAGGCTCCAATTAAACGCAAGCAACCTCAAAACCCATCGCCGCCCCATCCTCAGTCCCCTGTGCATCTCGCCACAGCCTGACAAACTAACACCGCCGGAGCTTTAGTCCGTGTCTCTAGGTCATTGACCTATTCGGTCAACCATACGCCGCCTAGCTTAACTTTCACCACGGCCTGAGCTGCAATTTTTGTTTTGTTTTTTTGCGTCATCTTCTTCGTTGCAGTGCCTATTTGCTTGTTATGCTTTTAGCCTCTTTAAGGGCTACTTTAACACTGCATGCGACGGCAAGGTTTGGACGGTTCGTTTCTGTAGCTTATAACAGCACCGCTGTCGGCGGTCTAGGCTGTTTCAGAACCATGGGTAAACTTGGATCTGATTGTGGTTCTAGATTGTATGCTTCCTCGAGCTCAGAAAACAAAGAAACTTCCTCAAATGTTCAGTCCACACCGGAAATTGAGAAAAAGTACGTCCATCGTGTATATGATGCAATCGCCCCACATTTCAGTTCAACTAGGTTTGCCAAGTGGCCGAAAGTGTCCGTTTTTTTAAATTCATTACCAGTGGGTTCACTTGTTTTAGATGCCGGTTGTGGAAATGGAAAGTACCTGGGGTTGAATCCTAATTGCTTCTTCATTGGTTGCGATATTAGTGCTCCACTGATAAACATATGTGGCGATGGGGGACATGAGGTATTAGTTGCAGATGCTGTGAATCTCCCTTATAGATCTGGCTATGGTGATGCTGCAATTTCAATCGCAGTCTTACACCACTTAAGCACTGAAACAAGGAGGAGGAAAGCTGTTGAAGAATTAATACGCACAGTTAAAAAGGGAGGACTTGTTTTAATCACGGTTTGGGCTAGGGAACAGGAGGATGGATCATTGGTTAAAAAATGGACACCTCTTACAGATAAATATCTGGATGAATGGGTAGCATCAAACGGTCCTCAGGTCCGATGTTCTTCACCTCGCTCCTTAGCAAGCATCCCAGAGTCTGAGGACAATGGCCATTTGGTTTCTGGAACTGGAAAGGATTCTTCTATAGATGAGCAGCAGGAGTATTTTGTTCCTTGGCATTTACCTTATCATCGAGCTGAAATAAGTGGAGCCTCTGCGTGTGCCCTTGCAAGCGGATTGGCAAAGAAAGACGATAAGAAGGGGGCTGTTGTGTATAACAGATATTACCATGTCTTTAGTGAAGGTGAACTTGAAAGGTAATGTCATCTTTTGTCTTCTCAGTTGTTAATCTTGCTAACTAGTGTGGATTAATTATTTGTCAAATTTTGGATGTTCTGAAATGCTCACAAGTTTTGGATATTCCCTTTTTACTTTCTTTTACGGCTCCCCTTCATCCTGACTAATCCTGAGTGCCCTTGGCCGAGCTACCACCGAGTAGCGATTTAATTACTTAGATATTACACAAGAAGAAAATGATTGCTAGTGCTTAAATGAGTATAATATCAGCACGTGGAGTGCCATGTGTGACTTGCAGTGTAAAATGTTTTGAATGAATTTTGAGCTTGCAGTGTCACTTCTTTTTAGTACATTGAAGGAAAAACTATCTAAAGTAAGGCGTGTGACTATCTTTTCTCTCTTAGTTTTAGCAAGAATATAGCCCATGGAAATTTTTATTTGTTATCACCATATTATACCCAAACAATAGGAAGAAGAGTGACAAAGTGAAATTTAAACCATAATAAAATGTGTCCATCAAACGGACACACTTTTGTTACCCTAAAAAGTGACATAAGTGAGTTGGAAGACAAAAGATGTTTTTACTTGGAGTGAAATTTTATGGCCTGGTCTTGTCTGATCTAAACTGGTCCAGTCTGGTTTGGGCAATGTCTTGTCTATGTGTATTTTACAACTATCGAGGTTTGGTCTGGTCTGTTTAGTCTGGTCTGGGATTGAAATAAGTCCAACTAAAAACATGCAAAGTTCAATTAAATTAGTGTCTTCCCTACTCCCTAGTTTTTCGGGATCATGATGATATGAGAGTTATCTACCTTTACACTAAAATTTTTTGATGGTCTAGTGTCGGATTCCAATATGAAGTAAGGGCTGTTTAATGGATCCAAGAAGCCCTGGTTTAATGCTATGTTAAGGTTCATGTTATAAGTTAGAAGAATGTAATAGCTGTTCACAATGAACAGATTTATCTATGTAGAAGAACTTGTGCTTGAAAGGGATGATATTCTTCGTGTTTTTTGAGATAATGTTCATCGTTACTGAAAGGGGAAACTGAAAAGAATTACAAGTGAAATAGGCCAAAGGCCATGGATAATGTGTAAAGAATCATAAATGTTGGCTTTTATAATGTAAACTAAAGGGCTCCACTTGCTGCATTTTATCTTTATCTCATGTTATTCACTTGTTGCATTGTTTCTTGGGAGTTTCTTTTGTCATAACGTCACTTCGTTCTTTAGTTTAGCTTTTCATTTTTCAAAGATTCTCCCTGAACTTCATTATTTGGGGCCTCCCAGATATTCGGAACCTGTTCTGTGGAAGCTAATTAACTTGCTGAAAGACAACTCCAGTGTGCAGTGATATGATGTGTGTCTCGAACCATTAAGAGATTTTGCTTCTCAATAGTTCAATTTTAAGGCTGTGAAGTGTAATAAGCTCCACCAATAGTTTTTTATAGCTGTTACTTAAAATTTAAAGCTGGATAGTTTTATTAGATTTGGATATTCTTTTCTGTCCTTTTTAGCATCTGTATGGTTGTGTTGTAATGATTCTTAATAAGTTTAGATGGGAGGGTGTTTTCAAAATGAACTACTACAGAAATTCCACTATAAAGTTTGCTCAAGGTTTACCTTTCATTTTTCTCGCTCTTCTCCAGGTTGGTATCAGGATTGGATAATGCAGTCATTGCTGATAGATTCTATGATAAATCAAATTGGTGCATTGTCCTTGAGAAAATATCTTGAAATGTAACATTTACAAGCTTATATTTACTTGTGTGGGGAACTCGCAGTAAGGGCTTCTCATATCTTGATATCTACATGATCAAGAAAACTGTTGAGCGGTTATGAAACTGGATAACTCTGTTGTGCTTGCCCATGGCATTGTTGTATTGAGCTACTAATTGCCCAACTACGACTTGGAATGTGAATTTGTTGTGCATCAATCATTTAAACAATTTTACTTGAATTGTGTTCTCTATGATGTTATTTCTTTTACTTCTTTTTGTTGGGCAATTCAAGGAGAATTTTTGGATTTTTTTTCCACACGTGAGACGCCCACTCGTCTTAATCAGAAATTTGGAAGTTCACAATAGGAAGTAGAGGGGGGAGCATTATACAGATGACGGTGAGATTGAAACATTGTGAAATTGAGAATGTGTCCATAGGATGGGCCTTTGAAACGGGAAGAAACACCATTATTGCATGATGGAGTAAAGAACTAATAAAGGCAACTGATATAATAAAATTGAGTCCTTGTTGTACCCACTTTTGTATACACATTTGTACATTTGTCTGTGTACAGACAATTGGGAGATAAATTCTTGGGAGATAAATGCTGCATTCTTCTTAACGAATTGTCTGTGTACACAGGCAAAATAGGAGGGTGGGTACAAAAGTAGGTACAAAAGTGAGTACAAAACTTAGTGTGTAAAAAGTGCATCCTAGTATAAAAATAGTGCATTTATCCGCATCAAAGGTGTTTTTTTTGTGTTTTTTTTGGACAATTCTTTCTAACCTATACAGTATCTGCTCATTGTTAATGCCAACATCCTTGAATTGGTATGGGATTTGAACCTGTGACCTCCTTTTTGGGAGTGCCACAATGATGTCATCAGACCACAATATACTTGGTCATCAAAGGTGTATTATATTTCAAAAAAAAAATGTACTAGAAACAAAACTATTGCAAGTTTGCAACAACTCCTAGTGAATGGCCCTAATAATCCTTAGGGTATGTTTAGTTCAGGGAATGTCAAATTGCTTGATATGTTATATCGATGGGAATGTATCCAATTTATTCCCTTTTGTGTTTGGTTAAGATTAAGGGAATGTGATATTAATTTACTTGGTTGAAAAATATCTTATATTGCAGATATGGTAAATTTCTTCAATGCTCTTTAAATATTTTATCTTAACACAATAAATCTATTACAACCTACATCTAAATAATTAAAATTAAAGAAAAAATGAAATATCTTAATAATAAATAAAATCAAATCTAATTGAATTATTTTTAAGTAAACTATGTTTAATGTGATAAAAAAAAGTAAACTATGTTTAATTGTAAAAAGTTGTAGATCCAATTCAAAAGTGAAAAAAAAACTTTGTTCAATCTAAATATATTTATTATTATTTCAAAAAAAACTAAATTTAAAAAAATGTTCAAGTTATTCATAAAACTTTATTTCAAATTAGAGAATAAATGATCAATTTTTCCATTAAATTTTGAAATCCACTCATCAAAAGCTTAAATAATCTATTAGTTTTATAAAATAAATACCTTAAAAAAGTTAAATGTTTAGGAAAAAAGAATTATGAAAATAACAAGAATAGACATTCAAATATAATTAAATAAACATACTTCATCTATTCTACTTAAATGGTTGTCACACAATCTACGGTCGACTGACCATTAAATTAACCGATCTCTTTCAATAATAAGATTGTTTTTTAATAAATATAATTTACATATTTAGAAACTACATTAAAAGTTTTATAAAATCACACTATATAAATAAATTAAATGAAAAGAGATAATTAATTGAGGGTATTTTCAGAAAAAAATTAGGCCATCACCGGGAATGTAAGATAACCTAAGGCATGAGTGGTTATAAGATTCCCCTCCATATTACATTTCCGGGAATGTAACTTTTTTGATTTTCTCTCAAACCCGTGAACCAAACATGAGTATCTCAGATTCCGTGCATCACATTCCGGCCTTCATGTGAGATTACCTCAAACCAAACATACCCTTAATATTTTACTGGTAAACTTCTTGCATTATTTATATAGATTTCGAATTGAAATTTTATCCTGATTATTGTAATGAAAAGTTTATCTAATTCACCCTATTTTACAACATCTAACAGTCTAGATATGTTTTTATTTTTCATGTCAAGACTCAAGAGTACTTTTTCACTTGAACCTATCCTTGTACATTAGAGTTACACATTGAGCGGGTTGGGGAGAGTTGGCTATATTTCACATACCTACCCGTTTCAACGGATTAACTACTAAATAACCTGCATGTATGGAGTTTTTTTAATCGTAAAACGCTTATATCATTAAAATAACATTCAGCAGGGGTACGTGAAAGGACCACATGTAACTATCCGCCCTTGGCCGAGACGCTGAGTTAATCACCTTTGACAAAGCAATATAACTCGCTAGACCTAACTTGGGCAAATTAAAGCTAACAATGATTACCGTAAACCTCTCAACCCCCAAAACTAATGCAAGAGTTTTACAGCAGAAAAGAAGGAGTAAAAACAAAACATAATAGTATGATCGTGGAGTAAAACGAAAATAAATAAAATAAACTAACAGAGCAACCGAATCCATGCTTCAAACAACATACTCGGCGGTGGCTCAGGAGGGGGACAGATCATCAATCTTTCATTTTGAAACATTCCTTGCAAACCCACCACCACAATTTCCAATGGCATCTTCTTAATCCCTATGATTATAGCCCGAATGAACCCGAAATCCATGCTTACCTTCCCAATCGAAACCAGTGGTAAAAGAGAGAAGTCCATAACCCGAACAAAGTCACGATCCAAATCTGCTTTCTCCCGAAATGCCCGACCCCAGCCCTTCCTAAACCTGATGGAGAGCAAGTAAGAGCGAAGCATAGAAGGGTAAATACCGATCTTCAATCGGCAAGATTGAAATCGGAAACACGACCTAGCGGCTCGCGGCGCAAGCCCTAGGAGAAATGACCAAACTTCGACCAAGGAGATCGAAATCGGAAAAGTGCCTAGCGGCGATGCCCTAGGAGCTCTCGAACTTTGCTTAACGCAGAAAGACGAAGTCTGCCCTTTGGTCCGCATGTATGGAATTTAGAATTTAAGGAAGTAAAAAATTGTCTCAAATATGAGTAAAATTCTCCTAAATTCTAAAATAGGATTGTTGTGTTTTTATATTTTAAATAAAAATAATCAATTCTCAATTTAATATTAGTATGCTTTAAAACATGACATTATTTTTCAAGCTTAACATTTTTTTAAATATTTAGGGTATGTTTGTGAGTTGGATTTTGGAGTGGAGAAGAGAGTTGATGAGGGTTTATGACTTTCATTTCCAAAACCTTATACACTCAATTTTTAAGTTTCCCAATTTTAAGAATAATTAACGAAATGATAAATTGAGCTTATTTAAAATAAACTTTAATTTAATTATTTGAACTCTTCATACGGAGTATTTGAAAGCGATTTTAATTATAATTCATTCAAAATTTTTTTTCTCTAGATTTATTATTTCTAAATAAATAAATGAAGTGTTTGCTTGCCATAGCTTCAAAAGTCATTCCATAGTCTTTGCCCAAATTTCCAAACATACCTTAGCTTTGCTGCACCGCTCTCCAGACTCCACCACCTGGTTATACTCCGTATAATCGAAGACTACATCTTTCCAGACAACCTGTTACTCGAAGTTGTCTAGAAAATATAATCGAAGACTTCATATTGTAGAATTTTAAAAAGTTTTCATTGTCATTTTAATGTATTATTCATCTTGTTCTTGACAGTGGCCAGCGGAAATGGAGTTCACCTGTTCCGTTGCGTCTCTGAGTCCGTGCTTTGCTTCTCGAAACTCCGCCCGGCCACTCCCTCTCGCCTCATGTTTACCGCTTCGGTGGCGTTCGTCATGTCTGACCTCACCATCTCCAGGTAAGCAGGCCGCTTACGGTTTTTCTTGATAGTGATTTTCATTTCGAAGAAGAAGAAAATGGTCGCTTATGTTAGCTTAAATTTCCTTCCTTTCATTAGAGACTGCTTATTGTCGAAGTTGGGACTATTTTTGATCGCTTCTTTATTGTTCTTAGTTAAACCCTCCTAGAATTTTAGGTAACTTTTAGGGAATGCAATTGGAAATAGTCTTTTTTTTTTGGTAAACTCGAACGTGAAATCATTTGAAGAAATGAACCCGAAGATTATCATCAATTTTCGCATTTCTTTTTCTGAGTTTATTTCACTGCTGTTACAGTGTTGAAGTCTTGAAGATGTTTTCTGTTTGGAAATGAATGGGGTATGGAAGGACGCTGTATATCACTGATTGGTCACACCATTATATTTATTTTTCTCTCATTTCGATGACAGTATTTTATACTGTAATCATCCCAAATGTGAATGATGTCAGTGGCATGAACTATATAGTGTTAATTCATAATTCATAATTCAAAGTTTGTTAACAATATAAACTAGGAGGTGACCTGACTTATGGGGTTCGTTATTCGTTAATATGTACTGTAATGATATTTGCAAATGATTCTGAATATGACTAAAACATAGTTCATCTCCTTAAATAATTCCAACTAACATAGACATTTATGTATGTAGCACTTCAATGCTATTAGGGCATCTCATTGTTTGGGGTATTAACATCAATGTCCCGCCCAAGAAGGCACATTGGGTGGAGAGAAATATTAATATTGATTTATTAATTTGGTCTGTTGTTAGGTTTGTTCTTTCCAAAAATAAGGTTGAAATCATCCCTTGTTCAATCTGTTGTTGCTGATACTGCTAAAATACTAAGCATCTCTGCTAAAGAACACAATTCATGTTGTGAAGAATCTAAACCTACTCCTACTGACTACAAAGCTGATGCAAAAGAGGAATATGTCAGAAAGGACACTGTTGAAGGCGTTGGTGTGAATGATATGATCCGAGTTTGTGACAAGTTAATTGAGGTCTTTATGGTAGACAAGCCGACTCCAACTGATTGGAAGAGATTAATAGCATTTAGCAGGGAGTGGACCAATATCAGACCTCACTTTTATGAACGCTGCCTGGAGCGAGCTGACAAAGAGAGTGATTTTGAGATGAAACACAAGCTACTTCGGCTCTCAAGGAAGCTGAAAGAGGTAATCCTTTCCCCCCTTTTAAGTTGTAACTGAAGTTATGTGTGCGTGTTTGTTGAAAAGTAACTAGAAGATTCTATTTCCAGATTGATAATGACATTCAAAGACATAATGAACTTCTCGAGGCCATAAGAAATTCTCCTTGCGA